TATAAACATCCTTTACTTGTATGTAAATGTATGTGTCAGGCCAGATTTGTCACTCTTGATGTGTGGATCCATGAGAAACTTAACAATTTTATATCGGCTGTTTCTACTAATTTCTGAGATGGCTGATATAAAAATGCCTGATACATTTGTGGACTGGTATCTTTATCCTTGTTATTCTCAAACTGGCTTTATGTAATTTAAGTCAGTATCATAAGTTACATACATATTCTGTTATATCTTCTTGGTGATGCTTTCTCACTTAAAATTATTTCTTTCTGATATAAATACATGTTAAGCATGTTTTTGTGTCTTATTTTATAATAATTATAACAGGTATATTTTTCAAAACCTGTTTCATATATTTATATTTTAGATGTGTCCCTTGTATCCATGTTATTGTTGAATATTTTTAATATATAAAAAATTACTGGCTGATGATCTGAGCATTTACTCCATATTCATTTCATAAGATGGCTCATATATATTTAGGTTTAAATACATTCTCCGTGGATATGTGTGTGCTTTTCTTTGCCTCACTTGTTCTGTACATTTCCTTTTAAAAACTTTCTACAGAGGGGCACCTAGATGGCTCAGTCAGCTAAGCCTCCAACTTTGGCTCAGGTCATGATCTCACAGTTTGTGAGTTCAAGCCCTACATCAAGCCCTCCCTGCTTGGGAGTCTCTCTCTCTGCCCTGCTCCACTTGCACACATGCATGTGCGTGCACTCTCTCTTTCTCTCTCAAAATAAATAAATTAATTAAAAAATAAAAACTTGCTATTGGTTATTTCTGTACATTTCAATTTTTCCTTCTTCATATTTGTGGGGTGTATACAGTGATTCTGTTTATTAGTATTTAAGCTGAAAATGACAATGCACTTATTTAACACAATAAAATAGAGATAAAATCTTTGCTCTCCTGAAAAATATAAGATTTAAATATTAATTTGCTTATCTCAGTTTATGTGCTATTGAGTCTATACATGGTAATCCATCACTCTGTCTTCAAAAAGGAAATATTAATGTCTTATACAGAGAATGTTTGTATTAATCTACAAACACACCCCTCTCATAGATCCTCATTCCTTCTACCATCACAGACCATTCATCTGGGATCACTTTCCTTCAACCTTAAATAGAATCTTAAAAGTGTTCTTTATGTCAGTTTTTTTTTTTCATTAAATTTCTCACGTTTGGTCTCAAATAGTCTTATACTGTTTCTTTGAAGATGCATTTGTTGTATAGAGAAACTTGGTGGTAGTTATCTCTCCCACGGTTTCAGTATGTCCTTCTATTGTGTTCTGGACACTAATATTATACTGGGTGTAAGTGGAGACATTGTGTGTATAAGCCATATATAAACATATATAGCTCTGAGAGACAGTATTCGGACCTGAGTTGCATAAGACTTCACCCAACGATCCCAACATTGAGATGCAATCAGTGAATGGATGAGGTTTTAATTTTGGTTGTCACATTAACAAGGGCGTAAGAGGGTAAAATGTAGATGATGGAAAATAAAATGGGCATCGGTGATCAAATTGATGGATTGTGCTAGAAATGGTCTAGGTGTTCACCAATACTATTCTTTTGGACTCCTGAGAGGAAAAGTATGCCCTCGCTTCCCTTACACTTAACTTAGGACCATGTTCGTGCTAGGTATGCCATTCAACTTGTTTTGAAGTCAATGAGGAAGCACCTTCACCTTTGGCTACTTGAGCTCAACAGGCCAGCTGCTCTGTTTATTATTAAGCTTCCTGGACATTCCGGACTCAACTCCCTGGAGGCCAAAGTAATCCATCTCACTGATATTTCTGCCAAATGGTTCTCTCAAGGAGACCCAAGAGCCAAACCTCTGTCATCGTCAAAAAGAATGTTCTCGCACATGATAATTTGGAAGAATTGACCAGAGACACCCAACAATTGACCCCCCAAAAGTAAAAACAACATTGGAAATTTAATAATTGTTGATCTGATAAAAAGAGAGAATTCTTATTTGGACTAAATGACAATATGGCCCTACCAGAAATTCTAAAATTCCCACCATTTACCAATGTACAACTATTGGTCTACTGACAAAATGATAGTGTTTATGAACCAATATTGGTGAGGAAATATTAATGAGGCCACAAAAGTGCCTACTTCACTTGTCCTGTTTGTCCAGTGGTACAAGGAAACGTGTTCATAGTGCTCCCACTTTGAACTGCCCAATGGAACATTTGAGGTTTGGCAAATGAATTTCATACAGCTTTCCCTGTCTCATGGATATAAATGTATTTTAGTCATGGTTTATACGTTGTCTCACTGGACCAAAGCTTTCCCTTGTAGACAGGCCACTGCTTCTTCTGTGGCTAAAACTCTGTTAGAAAAGATTATCCCTACCTAAGAAACACCTCTCAAACATCATGGTGGTTGGGTAACCCGTTTTACCCATAACGTGCTTCAACAGTTCTGTTTGGCTGGTTTTATACTTTGATTGTGTGTGTCATCCTCAGTCCTCAGGGTTAGTTGAACACACTAATGGCACTGATAAGACTCAATAGGCAAAATGTGTAGAGATCTTCTATATACATTGTTCAAAAATATTGCCATCAGTCCTAATTCTCAGATCTCCCACTGTCCATAGATTCTCACCCTTTGAGATAGTCACGGGATTTCTAGGGCACTTGGCCCTGCCTCCTCCGACCCACAGTTGATAAAGTAGATATCCTTCAAAATCGTAAAGGCCTAATTGCTCAGTAAAGGCACCGAGGGACAAAAGGCCACTGAATTAAGAAAAAACTGACTCTTGATCAGCAATGCTTTCCGAGAAGGATCCTGATCAAAAGGGAGGAATGGGAATATGAATAAAGGACAACCTCACTAAAATGGAGTTGGGAGGCCAAAAGGAGGAACACTCACCCAGTACTACTGGAAATCAAGAATTTCCAATTACCAAGACCAACAGAAGAATCAACAGGGAAGAATCATTAACTACAGACCCTAACAGGAAAAGATGTGCACTGCATTTCCTACAAGAAATTGACCACCCCAGCAACTCAAACAAAGAGAAACCACATTCACCCTGAACTCTTGCTTTTCTCCAGTGGATTTGCGTTCAAAACAATCCTTCCCAACTTCCTCTTTCTTCTCCATAAATAAGTTCCTTACTTTTGTTTGCTGAACTAGTCTATGGGTTGTGCAATACATTACTTGTCCTGAATTGCAATCCTCTGCTCTTTCAGAAGAAACCCATTTTTGCTAGCAAAATAACTGATTTGTTTTTAAGGTCTGCCATATGAAACCATGTTAAGTCCACACCTACTTAAGCCTAAGAGCAATTAGTCTTGATAGTCCTAACTTTTGAATCATGTGGCCTGTAGGAATGTGTCCCTTGCACAACAGACCTACCTGTGCTTTGTGAAACCTTCCTATATAAGATTTGTTTTTTTAATAAAATGCACCTCAGGGTACCTGGATTGCTCAGTCGGTTAAGCGTTGGACTTCGGCTCAGGTCATGATCTCCTGGTTCATGAATTCAAGCCCCATGTTGGGCTCTGTACTGACAGCTTGGAGCCTGGAGCCTGCTTCAGATCTGTGTCTCCCTCTCTCTCTGCCCCTCCCCTGCTCGTACTCTGTCTCTCTCAAGAATAAATAAGCATTAAAAAAAAATTTAAAAATTAAATGCACCTAATGGTATACACATGTGCTTTATGCAAAAATTGTCACCGTTATTTATGATGCTGCTTGCTGACTCAGAGTGGTTGTATTTTGTGTTTGAAAACAAATCACCAGTGATTCTGCAAAGAGGGGTCCCTGACACCCTCCTACATCAGTATATGTACCAACCTTGTGATGATAACAATAGTAACAATAAGAGTCTGTATTTAACGCTAGGCCCTGTGTTAAGCACTTATCATCTCATTTTCCATGAAGTAGGTTGTAGTACTTTCCCATTTTAGTTATTAAATCTTGGGGGAAGGAGGGAGGTCATAAAAAGAGTTCTACTTATCCAGGTTACGCTAGGGCCCCTCCCCCAGGTATTATATATCAGAAGGTGTCTTTTGGGTCCGATAACTTTGATTTTCAGTAAATTCACAGGTGATGATGTCAGTAAGTTCACAGGTGATGATGTCACCGCCGTCTCAGGGATTTAAATTTGGGAATTAACGAATTGGATTAACATTTAATGGTACTACACAAAGTCCCCACCAGCGGGACATATTCACTGTTCAATTTAAATCTCAGTCCCCAAAGCTGAGAGGTGAAACAGCTCCCCCAGTATTAAAGACTGGATCACGCGCTGGAGACCTCTGAGGACATGACTTTGCCCCAGGTGACCACAGAAATATGGGTGCGTCGCCTTTAAGAGGAGCTTTGGCACTCCAGGACCCTCTTTCCCCCGCATCTTTCTCCTCCTCGAGGCCTCCGCCCCCGGCGGCCAGGCGGTTGCCAGGAAGACCGGGAAAGATGCCCACTGCCTGGTTGGATGCAGGGCTCCAACTACATTACCCAGAAGTCTGTGCCGCCGCATCGGCGTTGTGCTCAAGACAGCCCAGAAGATGGGCGTTTCCCGCCGCTCGGAGAGGCTGAGGTGGGACTTCCGGCGTCGCCAGCGTGACGTCTTTTGCCTGTGCCGGGACTCTCCACACGGGCCGTTGAGGCCCCGAGTCTGGGGCGGGGCGAGCTTCCCGCGCGGCTCTTCGGAACCGAGCCCGGAAGGACGGTACCGTACGCGCCTTTGTTACCCTCCATGAGCCCCGTCGTGGGACTGGCGGCCTTGCGCGGAGGTGTCGGCTGGAGCTGCGCCCTTCCCGGGGCCTTCCCACACGCGCGCTGCCCTCGGACGCCCCGGCCGCGGTACCCTGAGCTGTGCGCGTTTGTACCCGGGGGAGACGGGCTGGGAGCGCGACAGTCGGCCCGCGGGCACCGTGCCTAGTGGAACTTTGGGGTTCCGGCTGAGCCCGCAGGGCCTGCCCGCTTTGCCCGCTTCTCACCACCCGGTTCTGCTCACGGGATCCCATGGAGGCTGCGGCGCGGACAGACGGGGCTCAGGTGAGCGGAGGGGCGGCTTGTTCTAGGACCTTCCTCACTTGGCCTTCATCGCTCCCTCTGAGTGCAAAGGCGGCGGAGGGCACTCACTCCCCGCGGGTATGTGCCGAGGTTCCGGGTATCAGTATCGGTGGGATGAGGTGTGCAAGGGTTTCCAAGGCGCTGGCACAAATACTTGGAGGTGGAAATGAGTTAGGAGTGTCCCGGGAACCGTAGGTCCCTCTTAATCGGGTCAGAGCAGACGGCAGGTGGTCAGGGGTCGGGCCTGGAGTGGCCGCCTGAGGAGCTGGGCCTCTGTTCCAAGGGTGGTGAAAGACGTGGCAGATTTGGAGCAGGAGAGGTGACCCGACCCAGATCTTAACGGGCTCCTTTCGGCTGCTCTCTGGCTGAGAACAGAGCATGGGCATGAGTGGGGAGCCTACCAGTAGTCTGTGAGTGTTGACGGCAGCTGGACCAGAGAGGCGGCTGTGGAAGTGAGAGATGGTGGTGGATTTTGTATCTGGGCGTTTTGTTTTAGGTAATTATATATTTTTGAGAGAGAGATTGAATGCACAAGCAGGGGAGGGACAGAGAGAGAATCCCAAGGAGGAGCAGGCTCCTCGGTCTTTGTGGTCTCAGCACAGAGCCCGATCTCACAAGCCGTGAGCCGAAATCGGGAGTCTGTCACTTAACTGCCTGAGCCACCCAGGCACCCGTTATATCTGTTTTTTTAACCAGAGTGACCAGATTTTCTTGTGTGAAGGGTGAATAAGAGAAAGGAACGAATTGTGGATTACTCTAAGGTTTTTGTTTTTGTTTTGTGCTTTCTTTACCTGGTAGAATGACGGAGATGCCATCAACTGAGATAGGGAAGCTGATAGCAGGAGTAATTTTCGGTGGTAATATTGGGAGTTAGGCTGTTGTCATGTTCAGCTTAAGAAGTCCCAGAAACTCCTTAGTTGAGACATCGAGCTGGATGTGGGTTTTAGTTCTGGGGAAGGGTACTGGTTGAAGAAGTTCAAAAGGTGGTGGCTGGTATGTTGAATGCGGTGGAGCTACGGGTTAAGTTTAGGAGGGAGTATCTTGAGGTCATGGTGGCAATGCAGTTAATAACAAGAAAAGTTGAAACTTGGGACTGAGGACTGGGTCTCTCGCTTAGGCACTGGGTGACAGTGTACCTGTCACAAAGATACATGAGCACTTCCTGGACCCCACGTGCAGAGCAGCATGGGGTGGGAGGTGGTTTGCCCTGTGGGTGCATATGGTGTGAACCAGGAAGTTGGTAGTGGAAGTGGCAGTCCCAGATGGGGAGAAGGGGCGGTTCAAAGAGTGATGTACATGTGAGGAGAAGTGTGAAGTGATGGCATTAAGGTTGTGTCTGGGAGGCATGGTCTGAAGGACACCGGGAGAACTGGCCAGCACGAGTGTTTGGCGCCCTTCGTGCCGGACCCAGAGCGTACCCAGTACCCACCTGCCCGCCTGCCTGGCTCTGCTCTGCACCCAGTGCTCAGAGGGACGTGAGAAGAGAGCAGGCACTAGTGGCACCAAGACCTGGTGTCTCCTCTGAGTCGGGACTGGGAGGAGAGGGACCAGGGTGGTCGTGTGAGTGGATAGACTGGGGAGTCCTCTTGCCTGTGGCTCAACTGTCCCCCCCATCACGACAGGGCTGTGTGACCTTTGAGGATGTGTTCGTGTACTTCTCGCGGGAGGAGTGGGAGCTCCTTGAGGAGGCTCAGAGACTCCTGTACCGTGATGTGATGCTGGAGAACTTTGCACTTGTGGCCTCATTGGGTAAGTCCCTGTTTTATCTGTGAGTATATAGCAAATTACCCCAAAACTTAGTGTCTTAAAACAGTAAAAATTCACTCTTTCAGTTTCAGTGCATCAGGAATGTGGTCACAGCTTTCTTGGATGCTTTTTGCTTAGGCTCTCTTACGAGGTTTCAGTGAAGGAGTCAGCCAGGGCTGTGTTCTCATCCGAAAGCCACTCTCTCGAAGAATCCACTTACAGGCTCACTCATGTGATTGTTCCCAAGAATTAGTTTCTTGTGGCTTATTGAACGTGGGAATTAGTTCCTCTCTGGCTGTTGACCTACAGCCTCCCTCAGTTCTCTGTCCTGGTGGCTTTTCTGTGCTGTGCCTCATAACATGGAAGCTGCCTCCTCTCTGAGCAAGTGAGCAGAGAGTCCCCAAGATGGAATCCAGCCTTTTTCCAACCTGACCTTGAAAGTGACATCCCCTTATTCTGTTCCTTAGAAAATGGGTCGGTCAGTCTAACCTACAGTCCAAGGAAGAGGCTCACACAGGAAGCAGGCATTCTTAGGGCCATCTTAGAGGCTGCCTTCCACAGGCCCTCACATTCACTCCGGTGTCCCTGGGGTTTGGTTCCCCTGTTTCCTAGAGGCATCTCTTTCTGTCCAGCCACCTCAGTGACTCCCTCCCCTGTTTGGGTCCCAGAATAGGTGCTGTGGGTGCCGGGGCTGGGCCACGTGCAGTGTCCGCTCCCCTGCTGAACACTTCCAACACTTTTTGCTCAAAGTCTTGCAGGAACAGGTTAGAGGTTCAGGGCCTTTTTAGTCTGCTCAACAGATTCAACATGGCTGTGCGCTTCCTGGCCAGGTATCTGTCCAGATCGACGGTACCTTGGTGTCCCAGGTTCTGCCCTTGCCATCCAGCTGACATTTCCTGGGGCCTGAGTATGCCAGGAATTACAGGCACTGACATGGTCACCGCTCATGAATGTCTCAGGGCTGCTCTGGCAAATCTTTCTTCAAGGATTTCCATTTTTAACATTCCATTTTCTTTCTTTTTTTTCTTTTTTTTTTAAGTTTATTTTTATTTTTTGAGAGAGAGATAGAGAACAGGCAGGGGAGGGGCAGAGAGAAAGAGAGGGAGACAGAATCTCAAGCAGGGTCTACACTGTCAGCACAGAGCCCAATGCAGGGCTCGAACTCATGAACCACGAGATCGTGACCCTAGCTGAAATCAAGAGTCAAAGGCTCAACTGACTGAGCCGCCCAGGCACCCCTAACGTTTCATTTTCTTCTCTGTGAGGTGGGTCTACCTGGGCCACTCATGTGCCCTGGGTTTTGTTCACAACTTCATCTTCCAGATCCCATGTAGTTGCCCATGGGGAGAGGGGGAGAAAGCCCTGGTGTCTGACGGGGCTGACCTGACTCTAGCCACAGTGAGCCAGACCCACAGAGGGCCTGGCCCTGCAGACTGAGGACCGGAGGAGAGCCATGTCAGTGCTGGGTTCAGGTCAGACTTGCAGCCTACTTCTCGTTCACCAGCGTTTTCTTGCCAGGGCCTATAGCGCTACCTCCGTTCTGCCTTGCCTTCCCCACTCCTGGCACTTTGTGCACTTGTCTCTTCTCTTCTGTCTTCCAGCCCTGACTGTTTCCTCCTTTCTCTGGTGTCCGTGTCTCATTCTTCTCTGTTCCCTCTGCCACACTCTGCAACACTGGCTGCTTTAATGTGCGGTGAGTTGTGCACATCTCCTTAAACAGTCCTTAAGAAGCAGCTACTCACCGCAGTCAGATTTTCCTGGGTGTGGACCCAGCCTTCTGCGCAGAGCCCTCCTGGCACCAGCCGCCAAGGCCCTGCTCCGTGGAGGAGTGAGCTGGAGACCTCTCCTCTGCTCCCTTTACCATGCACCACCGTCATGCCTGCTACCCATTCTTTCTCCTTACTGTGACTGCTAGAGGCCCGGGAGCGACACTGGGCCTGCTGGCTCCCTTGTGCCAGCGGCAAGTCAGGGCACTCGTTCTTTGGTGCGTCACACACATGGATGTGATGCGGCCACTGCTGTCCACCAAAGCCCACGTGTACCTCACCGGCCTCTTTTCGCTTTCAGATTGTTGGCGTGAAGCAGACAACGAGGAGACGCCTGAGCAGAACGTTTCTGTCGGCGTGTCGCAGCTCAGGACTCCCGAGTCAGGTCCGTTCGTCCAGAAAGCCCACCCGTGTGAGGTGTGTGATCCACTCTTAAGAGACATTTTGAACTTGGTGGAACGCCAGGGATCACCCCCCTTGCAGAAGCCGTACACACGTGGCCCGTGTGGGAGAGGATTCTTACTCAGTGAGGACTTTTACCGGCACCAGAAGCGATGCAGTGGAGAGGATCTCTTCGGAGGGGACGCTGATGGGGCCTCATACGTGAAGAGCTATGCAGTCCACGTGCCAGGGAAACCCTGTACTTGCAGGGAGGAGGGGATGGACTTTCTGGGCAGCTCTGGCCTCTTCCAGTGCCCTACCACCAGCAATGGGATGATTCCGTACAAAAGGACTGAGTGCATAGAATCTTTCCCAGCCGGCTCCAGTGTCGGCCGGCAGCAGACAGACCATGATGGACTGGTGCTCTTCAGTTGCACCGACAGCGAGAAAGCCTTCCTGAACACCTTTACTCTCCTCGGCAGCCAGGTAAGTCAGACTGAAGTAAGACCCTTTCGATGCCCGCCATGTGGAAATATGTCCAAGGAGAAATCAGCTCTCATCAATTACAGAAAAATTCACAGCGGAGAAGCATCGCATGTGTGTAAAGAGTGTGGAAAGGCCTTCATTCACCTGTCTCACCTAAAAATGCACCAGAAATTTCACACTGGAAAAAGACATTACACATGCAGTGAATGCGGGAAGGCCTTCAGCCGCAAAGACACACTTGTTCAGCACCAGAGAGTCCACACTGGAGAAAGGTCTTACGACTGCAGTGAGTGTGGAAAAGCCTATAGCAGAAGCTCCCACCTTGTTCAGCACCAGAGAATTCACACCGGAGAAAGACCTTACAAGTGCAGTGAGTGTGGAAAAGCCTTCAGCCGGAAAGACACACTTGTGCAACACCAGAGGTTTCACACTGGAGAGAGGCCTTACGAGTGCAGTGAGTGTGGAAAGTTCTTTAGCCAAAGCTCCCACCTTATCGAGCACTGGAGAATTCACACTGGGGCAAGGCCTTATGAATGCATTGAATGTGGAAAGTTTTTTAGCCATAACTCAAGCCTCATCAAACATCGGAGAGTCCACACGGGAGCAAGGTCTTACGTGTGCAGCAAATGTGGGAAAGCTTTCAGCTGCAAAGACACGCTTGTTCAGCACCAGATAATTCACACTGGAGCCAGGCCTTATGAGTGCAGTGAGTGTGGGAAAGCCTTTAGCCGTAAAGACACACTTGTGCAGCACCAGAAAATCCACACCGGAGAAAGGCCTTATGAGTGCGGTGAATGTGGGAAATTTTTTAGCCATAGCTCCAACCTTATTGTACACCAGAGAATCCACACTGGAGCGAAGCCTTATGAGTGCACGGAATGTGGAAAATGCTTCAGCCACAATTCCAGCCTCATTCTACACCAGAGAGTTCACACCGGCGCAAGGCCTTACGTGTGCAGCGAATGTGGAAAAGCCTACATCAGCAGCTCCCACCTTGTTCAGCACAAGAAAGTTCACACTGGAGCCAGACCTTACGAGTGCAGCGAATGTGGGAAATTCTTCAGCCGAAACTCTAGCCTCATTCTCCACCAGAGGGTTCACACTGGAGAAAAGCCTTACGTGTGCAGCGAATGCGGGAAAGCCTACAGCAGAAGTTCCCATCTTGTCCGGCACCAGAGGGTTCACACTGGAGAAAAGCCTCACGAATGCAACAGTTTCGGTGCTCCTTCAGCTACACCTCTTAAACTTGTTTAGCATGAGAAAGTTCACACTGGAGAAAGGCCTTAGGAATGCAGAAAATGTGCTGTCTCCTTGTTCGACCTAATAGGACTCACACCAGAGAAAATCTCTGTGAGTACCCTTTGGGAGGGAACCATCAGCCATCATTCGTACATGTATCATGAGGACGTTCCCGATAAGAAGCACGTAGGTGGGAAGCTTTCATGAGGTACACTGCACTTTGTAGACTACCCAGGGCTCTTGACAGAGTTCTGTCACTGCCAGTGCCTGTGGCGGAAGCCATCTCTTTGCTGCCAGCTGTCAAGGTCCCACAGCAAGTGTCAGTCACTCTGATATGCTCAGGGAACGCAGACCCCTGGGCTCTCTCTCCTGTTCCCTGGAGGGAATCATGAGTGTCCTGAGCTCTGTGAGGTGCTCACTTCCTCCCGCATGGCTGGATTCTGAGTGGACGTGATCCAGCTCTGGCGAAAAGGATTTGAACTGGAGTCTGCTGGGGATTTCCGGACAGGATTTCTCTTCATGAACCATGTTGACTGTAAACACAATAACCAGGACTCCTTCGTCTTGCTTCCACATCACCTGACTTTAGAACTGCTTGCCTCACGCTGCTCTCATCTGCAGTGATACTCGTATGTGTGGGTGTTGGGGGAGGGGGGGGTCTCTTTACTGTGTGCAATGGATTGAGAAAAAGTTGGGTTCTTCCAACATGAAGGGAGGAACACCTTTTGTCGGCACCAACTTTATGTGCCTCAGAAGGGTCAACAGGATGGCAGAGAAAAATCTCAGTCTCGGCCTAATTTCCATTGTTGCCCAAGGCTTTGCTAGAAAAGAGTGAAGAGCTTTGGGTGCCTCATCTTGTGGCCTGGAAGGCAAGTTTCCTGTAAGCCCGGAGTTCATTTTGAGGAGGGCATAGTTGGTGTGATAATCCCCAGGGCTTCTGGAAACCATACGAAGTGGGTCTCTTGTTTCTAGGGAATTTCGCATATTCCCCAGGACTTTTCAGGGATTTCTGTCTCCTGGATCAGCCAGTCCCTGATGTCCCTGATATCCAGAATCCCACAGGCAAAGTGTTCTTGCCTGGAAGGCCCACAGGGCAAGGCGGGGATCAAAACAGGTACAGAAACACTGAGATAATGGAGTGGAGGTGAATGTGGCAAATGAGAGGATATGTATCTCTTCAGGAGGCATCTACAGATGCCCATATGATTGTTGAGGGATGAGAGTGTGTAGAACTTCTTAGGATCTTCAGACATCTGTATCTCCTGTGGCCAAGGCTACTGTCAGTGTCTAAAGGTTTGTAGATTCCTGTACCTCCCTGGGCTGTTGAGGTTGTGGCCATCACTACACAGGCAGGAACCTCAGCACTGACAAAGGAGAGCTCCAAGGATAGGGCTTCTCTGACTCAGCTGGCACTCCTAGTGCCTGAAGTGGGACATGGATTTCACTGCTCTCCAGTTTTTGCTGACATTGAGGCAGGGCTCATCCTCCTAAACTGGGGAGAGGGATGTGATAGAACCAAAATAGTTGGGAGATGTGACTTTCCGAGAGGGACAGTAAATATGAACTTTATGGGGAACACTTAATTCTCAAAAACTTTGTTGAGGTATGATTGACATGAAATAAACTGCACATATTAAAATATGAAATGTGTTTCAGTATGTGTATATACCTATGAAACCATCACCACAGTCAAGATAATGAACATACTCAACACAACCCCAACATCCCTTATATCCCTTTATAATCCTTTTATCGCAGTCTTTTTAATACCCTTTTCCACAATTCATAGGGAACAGCAAGCATTTTCTAGAATTTTATCCTGTCCTATGGTATATACTTCCTGGGAGTGGGGACTCTAGCCCTTGTCACTATCCATAACTATTTTGGGATTAATCCATCTCATTGTGTGTATCAATAGTTCGTTCATTTGTATTCAGTATTATTCCACTGTATGCATATACCACAGTTGGTTTTTATCCATTCAGCTAGTAATGGGTGTTTGGGTTGTTTCCAGTTTGGGGCCGTTACAAATAAAGCTGCTCTAAGATGTGTACAAGTTATTGGTTAATAACATTTCATTAGATAGATATAGCACAGTTTACTCACCTACTGAAGGACTTCCTGGTTGCTTCCAAGTTTGACAATTATGAGAAGCCTGCAATATGTATTTGTGTGTAGGTTTTGTGTGGATGTAAGTTTCCAGTTCTTGGGTTCAAGCCAAGGAGTGTGATTTCCTGGATCATACAATAAGAGTATGTTTAGATTTGTAAGAAACAGTCTTCCAAAGTGGCTGCCCCATTTTGCACCCCCACCAGCAGTGAGTGAGAGTTTCTGTTGCTCCTCGTCCTCATCAGCATCTGGTGGTGTCAGTGTTTTGGAATTCATCCATTCTAGCAGGTGTGTAATGGTGTGGCGTTGTTGCTTTCATGTGGAATTCCTTAATGATGTGTAAGTATAATTTTCATATTCCTTTAACACTGTTTTTTGCCGAGCAGAATTTTAATTTTAATCAAGTCCAAATCACCCAGTTTTTCTTTCAAGGATTGTCTTTTTAGTGTTGTATAAAAAGGCATTGCCAAATCCAAGATTCAGTGTCCAGTGTTATCATCCTATAGGTGTTCTGTGGTTTTGTGTTTTGCATTTAGGTCTGTTATCCATTTTGAGAAAATATTTGTGCAAGTATAAATTCTATATCTCGATCATTTTCTTAAACATCAGGATGTCTAGGGGCTCCTGGGTGGTTCGGTCGGTTAAGCATCCCACTTTGGCTCAGGTCATGATTTCGCAGTTCATGGGTTCAGGCCCTGCGTCGGGCTCTGTGCTGACAGCTCAGAGCCTGGAGCCTGCTTCCTATTCTGCCTCTGTCTCTTTCTCTGCCCCTCTCCCGCTCGTGCGCGTGCTCTCTTTCTCTCTCTCTCAAAAATAAACAAACATTAAAAAAATGAAGATATCTAGTAGTTCCAGCACCATTTGGTGAAAAGACTACCCTTTTTCTACTGAATTGCCTTTGTTCCTCTTTCAACAATCAGTTGACTGTATTTCTGCTGATCTGTTTCTAGACTCTCTTCCAATTTTTTTCCATCCATTAGAATCATGTGGGCATGGGGTGGGTTCTTTGGGGGAAGGGTCTTGTTCATATGGTATAATCCATTCATTGATATTCAGATGTCAAACTAACCTTGCATTTCCTGGGACAAATCCCACCTGGTCATGATGTACAGTCCTTTGTATTCATTACCACATCAGTTTTCTGATACTTTGTTAATGTATTTTGCATCTATATTGATGAGAGATAAAGTTTGGAGATTTCTTGTCATAGCTCTGTGTGACTTTGCTATCAGAGGAATCCTGATCTCGTAGAAAAATATGGGAATGTTGTCTCCTTTATTTTCTGGAAGAATGGAAGAGTTTTTGAAAGATTAGGGATATTTCTTTAACTATTTGCTAGAACTCCTTAGTGAAGGCACTTGAGCCTGTAGTTTTCTTTTGGGAAGACTTTCAATCGATTTCAGTCAAAATTTACTTAGTATAGTCCTATATAGATTTTCTACTTGTGTCAGTTTGGGATAATTGGTGTCCTTTTAGGAATTCTTCCATTTCAACTAAATTGTCATAATTTGGGAGGATAATGGTTTTTATAATATTCCCTTAGGATACTTTTAATGTCTGTAGGGTCAGTAATGTCTTCAGTCCCACTGTAGTTAATTTTTTTTCTTTGCCTATCTAAAGTTTTGTCAATTTCATTGATCTTTTGAACCAATTTTTTGTTTCATTTAAAAAAAATTCAAAAAAAAATTTTTGTAACATTTTATTTATTTTTGAGACAGGGAGAGACAGACCATGAACAGGGGAGGGTCAGAGAGAGGGAGACACAGAATCTGAAACAGGCTCCAGGCTCTGAGCTGTCAGCACAGAGCCCAACGCAGAGCTCGAACTCACGGACCGCAAGATCATGACCTGAGCCGAAGTCAGCCGCTTAACCGACTGAGCCACCCAGGCGCCCTAAAAAAATTTTTTTTAAATGTTTATTTATTTTTGAGAGACAGACAGTGTGAGCTGGAGAGGGGCGGAGAGAGAGGGAGACAGAATTTGCAGCAGGTTCCAGGCTCTGAGCTGTCAGCACAGATCCTGATGTGGGGCTCGAACTCACAGACCGTGAGATCATGACCTGAGCCAAAGTAGGACACTTAACTAACTGAGCCACTCAGGCGCCCCTCATTTATTTTTTTTAATTGAAGAGTAATTGACATACAATATATTAGTTTCAGGTGTACAATATACTTATTCAGTATTCATATACATTACAAAATGGTCACCACAAGTGTAGTTACAAATGTCATTGTACAATGTTGTTAAAATGCTACTGACTGTATTCCCTATGCTCTAGATTGCATCCTGTGTTTATTTATTTTATAACAGGAAGAAGATTGTACCTCTTAATCCTCTTGCCTGTTTCATCTGTCCTCACCCCCTTTCTGTCTGACAGCCATCAGTTTGTTCTCTGTATCTATGAGTCTCTTTCTGTTTTGTTTGTTCATTTGTTTTGATTTTTAGATTCCACATATAAGTGCAATCATACGGTATTTTTCTTTGTGTGACTTATGTCACTTAGCATAGTACTGTCTAGGTCCATCGTGTCACAGATGGCAAGATTTCATTCTTTTTTATGGCTGAGTAATATTGTATTTCTCTCCATATAGATAGGTGGATAGATAGCTATAGATATGCATATAGGGAGATCATTAGATAGATAGTGATAGATAGATGTATATCTTCACACACATACCACATCTTTATCCATTCGTCCATCAGTGGACATCCAGTGTGCCTCCATACCTTGGCTATTGTAAACAATGTTGTGATGAACGTAGGGAAGCTTATGTCTTTGAAGTCGTGCTTTCAGATAACCTAGAAGAGGAATTGCCAGACTATATGGTATTTCTGTTTATGATTTTTTTTTTAACGTTTATTTATTTTTGGGACAGAGAGAGACATAATAAATGTCATAAATGTCA